ATTTCTTGGTGGGCCAATCATGGGGCTTCATCACCCTTGCTACAAGCCTTGGCCTTTAAATTGCTTTCACAGCCAACATCTTATTCTTGTTGTGAAAGGAATTGGAGCACCCATTCTGTAATTCAAAGTGTGAAAACAAATCGACTAGCAACTAGCCGTGCTGAAGACTTGGTGTTTGTGCATTGCAATCTTCGCCTACTCAAGGAAGAGCAAGGAGTACAAAGATGGACCTTCAAAATATTGGGACATAAGTAAGTTTATTTTTATTTTAACAATCCAAGTATCTGCACTATATATCACATTTCGATAATATATATATATATATATATATATATATTGATAATTTTTAGGTGGAGATGAGTTTGACATTGAAGGCCAAGAAGTGGGAGAGCATGCACAATTTTCTCTTGATGAACCTGAGTTGGAGATGATGGCTTTTGAGGATGGTGAGGAGGGTGAAGGCACATGATGGACAACTAGATGAAGATGAAAATTAAAAGTCTTTTTGCAAGTTGCAACTAGACTAAGTATTAAGTATTAAGTATGATGGAATAAGGAGTAGTTCCTTTTTAAGTAGGCTAGACTAAGGAGTACTACTTTATGCTGTTTTGGGTTATGTAATCTGGGAACAATGTTTGAAATTTTTGGGTCCTTTTGATCTATTTAAGACCCAGATCAATTGCTATTATGGAGCCACCAAATTTTAGTATCAAGCTTATTAATAAATAATGACATCTCTATATTTTGTTGTTTCTTGAACGCAATTTTTTAACTCTAAACAATGCATAAATCATTTCTTACAAAATAAAATTAGATCGTATCCCAGTACCCATATCCAAATCTGGATCCATATCCTCGTATCCACAATTTTTTGACTTGAGATATCAGACACCTAAATTCACACCCGCACCCAATACCCGCACCTGCGTCCGAGTAACATAGCTTCAAACTGGATTGCATATACATATGTTGATAGATTGAGATCAAACCCTACATGGTCCGTGAAATCCTTCAAGGAAACTGTACAAAAAGATCATGTTCTAAACTTAGGAAGAAACAAGGTATTTAAAGCTAAACATAAGGCATTGACAATTGTGAGTGGCACAGACAAATAACAGTTCAGTTTATTATGGGATTACTATGAAGAATTAAGAAGAACCAACTCAAATGCAACTTGTATAATCACGTCCAAGAATTAAGAAGAACAGTTCAGTTTTAATGTATATTTTATGTTAAGGTGGACAAACTTGTAACTGACTCAGAAACTAGAAACCCCAATTTTGCATGCCCACGTCCATCTCAATCCCAATCTCCAACATTGAATGTTCCAATTGGCAAACAGAAGTTGCCTGCAAGATATGAAGCATTTTATGTTTGTTATCATGCCTGTTTTTATTTTTTAATAAATGAGCTAATTTTTATTATTCAATAACTGATTAGAAGGAGGAACAATTGATCACAATCTGAACCTACAATTGTATCAACCAAATCAATCAAGAAGCCATCAACATCTACTTCCATTCAGCATGGTTGGAGAGCACCATCAGCATCTACCTCCATCCAATCTGGTTGGAGAGCACGATCAGCATCTACTTCCATTGAGTTTGCTTGGAGAACACCATCAGCATCACAAAAATCAACCTGGAATACACCAAGTAATGTTGGAAGCCAGCAAGCAGTCTCCCACAGAAGAATGTAGTTCATCCCAGACCAAGTTGAACACAAGGTGAAAATACAATCAAGTTGAACATACCAGCAAGTTGAACACAAGTTGAACGTACCAGATAGTTGTCTCTTTTGTTAAAATATACAAGCTAGCTGTCTCTTTTGTTAAAATATATCAGCTAGCTGTTTCTTTTGTTATACATATTTGTAATGTAGCTGAACTGCAACAATTTTTTGGTAAATGAATATGCATTTTTTGTGAAATGAATATGCACTTTTTAGTAGAATGACAAACTAGGTTGATTCATGGGTACACAAATTCACCAATGAATCATAATATTACATAACTTCAATATTTTATTACAACAACCATCATTTGATTACAGACAACAAAAGATCTAATTTAGCAAAAAAAATTCATCAGTTTCACCTAGCTTCACTTCACCCATCACACATTCACAACAGTTGCAATGGCAAAACATCCATCAGCTTCTACTTCCTGGATACACATTCACAATAGTTGCAATGGCAAAATATCTCCATTTGGAACCTCCACGGCTGAGCCATATCGATCAGTTGCATTCATGTATACATAGATGATCACAATGAGAAACTAGGAACCAATCATGCAGCACCAAAGCATCCTCTCTCTTACTCTAGATTGCTCCAACTGCTCTTCCAAACGTGTAACACGATGCAGCAAACCCAGAATTATTTGGCGTGATCTAGTACACATTGGGGGATCAATCCATAGAAAGTAACCACACTTAGCTGTAACCTTAAGAAATGTTGAAACGAAACTGATCAAAACCATCAGTAGTACGCACTAAAACTGGTATAATAAGTTGTTTAATGTGCAGAAAACATAATTTTCAAGAAATAAAACTAACTCTAGTTTAAAAAATCCCTAATTTATCAAATACAAGTTGTAAGAATCAGTTGCTTGAACACCAATATCTTGCTAAATAATATGGATACAAACCAACTAAAGATGAATAATGGAACAACGTACCTTGTTATTCGCACATGTGATAAATCTCCTTTCTGGGTTCAAATCTATCCCCGATGTCTTCGTTTCGGGTGTTCTACCATAGTAACATATGGATTGCATTTCTCCTTCTTCTCTTACTTTCTGGATCTTCTTCTTCCACGAACAAACCTGGGAACCCAAATCTCTCTCTCTCACACACACAGAGTAGATTACCCAAATCACTTGGGCAGATGAAGTCAAGGTTTTGCATAGACAATGATTTTACAATACATCCCCACCTATTATCACGTGCAAATCATGTGATAACAAAACCAAACGGACGACAAACGGAAAAAATGACGATTTACTATATTGTAACTTTTTAATGTCTTTCAGGGGGCAATATGGAAAGATTAATCATTTGGGAGCAACGTGAAAAAATTTGTATCTTTTAAGGGGCAAACTAGGATTTTCCCAAAATTCAATTCTTTCTATTTTTCTTCTCTCTTACCAAACATAATTGAGGAAATGAATGATTCTTCCCGATGGAAAGTGTTTCACTTCCATTTTTCAACTTTTTATTTTTTCATCTTTCTATTTTCTCATCCATCCTGCCAAACGAACTTTAGAGTCTTGTCTGGATATATTATACTCGAAACAAAAGAAGAAAATGCATTTTAGATTGCTTATTGCATCCTGATGGTGTAGTAAGATGAGATCTGGGGCTGTCCTAGCTGGTAAAAGACTAGCTTTAAATCTCAAAAGGATAGGAAATTAGAATCAGCAATTTACAGATCGAATGGAACATTCTTTTATCAGCATTGAATCCCTAAGTTCGGTCAAGTTTAATCATGCGTGATTGAGTTGTTTGTATTATTCCATTAGAATTTTTTGGGTTCCAATAAAACCGAGTGAAAGCAATATGAAAAGCCATATTCAACTCGTGGGTCTTTAAATAGAAATTAAGTAATGCATAGTAGCTATGTCCATGGATTTCAATGTTACTACATATATATGATGCTATATGTGTAATGTGTTAACGGTCAACTGCAATCCATCCCATATCAAATTGGTAAAGTCAATAAAAAGAAGAATTAGAACATTTGCAGTCGGTACACGAAGTAGATTCATTGGTGGCCAGTCCAAGAACATTTGAATGGAAAATCTTGAGTACGTAGATACTTAAAGGACACTATTAGTCAAGGATTACATTATCAAGAATACCCATGCGTTTTAGAAAATTATACTAACGCTGGCTGAAAATCCAAGGGAGCAATTTCTTGGGAATCCACAAACATACATGGATATATGTTTTACTCGACCATCGAATTCAAATTGGTTGCTCATGGGGTTTCATATGACGAAGGTGTGTGCATTTGATATATAATGATAGAAATTGCTCTGCGGAAAAATCCATCTCCATCGTTCACTGTTTATTATGATAATCAAACGACCTTTGCTCATGTAAAGACTAAGATGTATAATAGAAAACAAAGATTTCTTAGACTTCGTCAAATAGTATTATATAACTCCAAGGTGACGGAGCAGTTTGTATGACATATATCAAATTGATTGAGAATTTGATAGACCATTTGACGAAATGACTTGCTCGTCACATGAAAAGTAAATCTCTGTCAGAATGACACTAATGGATTTTAATCATCTAAATCCTAAATTTGACCAATTTCGACAAATTTTATTACCTACAACTAAAATATTTGAGTCTTCGTAAATGTCATTGCGACCCATAAAAAGTGATTAATGAAATTTTGAATGTCCCATTATAATCCTCCCCCCCCCCCCCCCCCACCGAATTGTTGGCTCCAGCAATCTTTACTTCTCTATACTTTAAAACCTACACTTTAATACTTGTGGTTTGGCAATAAAGCATAATAGCTAACAAAGTTAAAGATATAGTATAAAAATACAATACCCTTTATGCGTTGGTTTCTAAATATTGAGAGATGATGTATTGATCCCGATCCATTATTATTGTCCATAAGTGGGTACTGTTAATTTTTTTTTTTCATGTTCAATCATGCATCACTAAATTTATTAAATTCTATTAGATGTAATTGCGGATTCAACTAAGATAGCCATCAGAGCCCAACAAATTTCACAATGGATATCTGAACGTCGCCGCAACAAATAATATTTGTAATTCGGTTAATCCGAGTTCATGTATTACGCACACAAGCATGTAACAAACTTCATTATTATAACAACATAAAATCTTTGTAACAAATGAACCATGCATAACAAACGCAATATTTGATAACGAGAAAGTCTTGCTAAGAGAAGAACCGTACATATAATGAGCTCAGCAATTTATTATATATATGGGGAAAGTAATCTTTGTAGTACAAATGCCATAAAACATACACACACACACACACACTTCATTCTTATAATAATTTTAAAAAGTAGAAGATGGCAAAGCTTCTCTAGTTGTTGTTGTCCCACCAGAATTGTTTCTGAAGATACTCAACAACGTTTTTGTCCACTTGGAATGCCTTGGTAAGGACATCAACAGAAATGGGTGGTGTCGAGCCAAAGACTGCGTTTGCAATAGTGATGACTCCAGGATTTTGGCTGCTTAAACCGGCAAAAGCAATTGCATTAGTTTTTTCCGGGTTAAATTGGAAGTGAATGAGACCCTGGGGAAATACAAAGACATCTCCTGCATGTAAGACTTTGGTGAAGAGGCGGTTGCCAGGGTTCAAATTGGAAGTGACAAAGCCAACATAGAGGGTACCCTCCAAGACAACAAGGATTTCGGTGGCACGAGGGTGGGTATGGGGTGGATTGAGGCCATACGAACCAAAATCAATACGAGCTAAGGAGATACCAAGAGTGTTGAGTCCTGGTATTTGTTCAACATTTACTGCAGTTACAACCGACCCAAGTGGGTTTGATGTATTTCTGGGAATGTTGAGACCGGGCATGTTGGGAGGGGGAAAAAAGAAATCATCAGCTGTGGCAAGCTTAGGGTCCTTACAAAACTTTCCATTCACGAACACTGCATGAACATTATTAGGAGTTTTGTCAAGTTAGAATTAGTTAATGAACCCACATAACATGTAATGTTGAATATGAAAATAAAGAGAACAGATAGATACCTGCAGCCTTGGGATCATTGATAGCAACACAAAAGTCCTGCAAAGGGCTAGGATCTGAGGCATAGGCAAGGGAGGAAGCCAGAGCCACAAGGGCGATGGTAGCAAGGAAGTGATTGGCCATCTTTATGTGAAGCAAATTGCCTTTTCTTTGAAGGATTGCTTGTTGAGAGCTGATAGATTTAGCATGGTAAAAGCTCTTATTTATAGTCATGTGGCCTTGAATGAGTCATTACTTAATGCATTTTGTTTGTAGTAACCAGAGAAGACTTGCCAAGTCTTCAGTGGTTAGGTTTTTTTTTTTTTCCTCTTTCAAAGACAAATTATTTCTTTTATTAGTGTTCATTTCTGACATGATATGCTAACACAATACGAATCCAACAAGAAATTAGTAGGAGCATGATTGGTTAGTAATCTTGACATAAAATCTAAAATGACACGATCCGATGAAAAATGGGTAGGACACTATTAAACTTAAATAATTCGATTTTAACAAGACAAATCAGTTAATTAGTATTATTTAAAGAAAATCTGTGGTTTTTTAAAATATATTATAATTTCTTGGTATCATATTAATCCTTATTACGAGTATAAGAGACTTACCAAGTCTTCAAATCTTTGTTTTTCTTTCTACGCCAACTCTCATTACTTTTTCCTTACGTCACATCCAATAATTATCTCATGGAAGCGCCAATTGATACTCATTCTTGTTAAGGACTGTTCTCTTCCCTTGACCATTCAACTTGCAATCATGGAAGCGCCAATCGTATTCTGTTAGTGAAAAAATCTTCTTCTATCCATTCAAATTACTAGTTTCTATCTAATATTACAGTTAAAAATTTAAAATTTTAATTCAATCTTCAAATATTTTGATTTAATAGCATAAAATTCATTCCTAAAATTCTTTTCCTGTTTAAAAATATTATTTTCATTACACGTCTCCTAATGCCAAATAATTCCAACAATTCATATACATATACTTCCATTCTCGGTCTTCAAACATGAAATTATTGCTAGTATAAAAAAAAAACAAAGCTGCTGAAACATAAATGTAGTTGTATTATGATGTCTAAGAAGCATTGTTTGAGGAAGTTTGAGATATTAGCTGCAGGTAGGCATGGGGACAAAATAGTGTTATACTGGAAATAATGGTGCATCTTAGTAACAGATTGAGATGTAGTGGGACTGTGTAGGCTCAATCCTTTTTGAAATTGATATATGATGGGTTAGACTCTTATAATGGCATGTTTGTTTTGGGTATTAAAGAATGAGATTGGACTAAATTCGTTCAATTGTCGTTTAATATCAAGTTTAGATCAAGTTACAGATCCCAATATTAAAGATATTTTAATACAGTCCCTATGGTGACATTTAATACTGTATACTTAGTATAACATTGAATTCGCAATAGGAGTTTTAGAATTTCTTACAAAAATATTTAGGGCCCTAAAGTTTGACAAGATTTTTTTTTTCTTACCAAATGTTTATGGTATACGAAAACACTTAATATCATATTTTTTTTATCTTATTATTAAAATTAACCGTCCAACTTATTGTCTATTAACTAAGAGTTTTTAAATTAAATTTGAGTTCACTTCTAATTTAGGATAGATTTTTGCTCACTTATTTTTTAAAGTGCACAAAAAAATCATAGAATAGAGTGAGTAGAAGTATTTCACTATCTGGAATTAATTGTAATCATAGTTGTCTTGCTAAATTTTTCTTATTTAAACGCCGTCTTGCTTCTCCGCGATATTAAAGCATGCTTCATATATTCCAAGACCAATAAACTCATACAAATTTTATTTTTTATATTTATTTCATTTTTTTTCTGTTAACTCGCCTAAATTTTTATTCTCTTTCTCTTTCTCTGTATATTCAACAGATAAGTATCGTAATCACATTTGGTCGAGGATTTGACTTTTGTTAATGAAGTTTTAATATATAAAGCTCGAATTTAAAATTTTAATTAATATTTTTGAATCTCAAAAAGAAACAACAAATAAATTAAATAACATATTTAATTTATTTAAAAATTACTTATCAATATATATTATTATAATAAATATTTATAAGGCCTAATTTAATATTTATAGGCAGGTGGCCTTGAATTAGTGCGTTTTGTTTATAACAACCAGAGAAGACTTTACCAAGCCTTCAATGCATGGCTATGTGCTTTTTCTAATTCAAGAACGAATTATTCTCTTTGATTAGTTCTCGACACGTGGGAATTTTCATGACTTTTTTGGAAAATTTTTATCAGGTTGGACTTTTTCATCTTATTATTCATGACCGATGGATTATATAATCCGCTACTACTCCCAATAAAAAATAGAGCAGGGATGTCTGGAGTGTTTGGAAAGGAACAGAATGATTGGGACTAGTTTCCTAATCTATTGAGAACTTATGCTTAATTATATTAAATTAGTCTAAAGAAGAAAAAAAGAAGTTGTATAGATAGATAGTGTGTCATTGATGTAGTCATTACCGACTACATTTTGTTTATAACCATCAGAGAAGACTTACCTACTCTTCGATGGTTACGTTTTGACTACATATTTATATTACTAATTGCTTCTTAAGGGTTTTTGTGTAACCCCTTAATTTTGATTAGCTGTCTGTAAACAATTTGTTTACAGGCTGACTGTAAAAAATTTATTCTCTATTCAATACAACAGTGATACCATATAAACATTAATGACATGATATCATCAACTAACAATAAAACCCCAAATACTTTAAGTGAGAGTCAGCTACCACATTTGCGAATACAAATAAGAAAGCCTATACATCACCTTGGTCCTAAGCGGAAGTAGACTAATTGAAACCTGCGAAGTAGTGAAGAAAGTGATGTTCAGTTGGTTTTTATTGGAGTGGCTGACGACTAGAAAAAAAGAGAGAAATTTTATAGCCACTTATTTACAGACCTAATTTAATATAATTATTAGATTAGTTGTGAGTTTTACTGTTAGATAAAACGCATATTCAATTCAACAATTACAATTGATTTAGTCCTCATATCAAATCTCCAAGGCGCTATTTGTTTGATGGGTTTGGAATGGTAGGGTTAAGAGCATCTTCAACTATGACTTAAATTTTTATTCAAATTTAAATTAACATTTGAATAAAAAGTTTGATTTGATACAAAGGATTCCGCTAGACAAATTCGAATTTAAAGAAGGAAAAACTCAAATTTAAAGAAAGAGAAACTCAAATTTAAAAGAGAGAGTAATGATGATCATTGAATCTTTAAAAGAGGATAAAATTTTACCATTAAAGATTTGGTTAAAAATTTGAGTTTACATTGATTTGAATGAAAAAAAGAGTCTCTCTTGATTATGTATAAGTTTAAGTCAAATGTTGAAACAAGTTTTTTTGGGCTTTTTTATTCAAATTTAAATTTGAGTAAGAGTTAGAGATGCTCTAAGAAAAATAGTCCGACAAATCACTTAATTTCATGTTTGATTAGGATTGTTAAACTTGAGATTCACATACAGAGTAGTAAAACATATACATGGGGTTGGACAAACTGATGGGAGTCGGTTTAGTATATGGTAGCCCAAGTTAACTACACCAAATGACTTTTCTATCTCTAATTCCTGTTCCTTTTAATTAAATAAACATCAGTATAGATTAGATTGACCAATGAACAATATAATTTGTAGGAACCATTGAATCGACACCAAATTTTAATGTTTTATGAGACCCACAAACAATCTAAAGCAGTGTGAAACCGCTAAATCGACCGATTTTGGATAAAACTGATGCACAGGACGATTTGCGCTTCAGCGAGTCTTCGCAATGAACAAGCAGCTTAGGGGATGAACAACAGCTCGATCATTAATCCTTCTGGAGTCCAGCCGTATCTCTGCTCCTTCTCTAGCTTCCAGCCTCCAGCGGTTCAGCCATCACTCGATCTCATCACACAATCTCACTCTCAGGTCTGATGACTGATATCTCTCTCTCTCTCTCTTTCTGTGCTTGCTGTCGCCTGTCAAAGCTTCTTTGCAAAACTAGCAAACAAAAATTATAAAACTTGTTTCATTTTTTTTTTTTTTTTTTTTCACTCATTGTATATAAAATATAATATTTTTTTTAGTATAATTATTATGTTTTATAATTTGTTTTATTTTTTATTACACAACCTGTCCGATCAATTGATCCAATAAACTATTGATTCGGTGCCTCCCCATATCCGATCCAATTTTGAGAACACGGCCTTAGTGAATTAATTATTACTCAGAAGTTGTAGATTTGTGAATTGAAGGGTTGAGACGGTTCAAAAATAAATAAATAAAAGAAAATAAAGGGCTAAGGGCCTTATTTTTTCGCTTACAGAAAATGAGGAAAATTTGATGCATCAAAGGTCCTGTCTGTATTACACTGTGCCCTCGTCTGAACCTATACACTACTACAAGTTTAATTATATATTAATTATGATTTTTAAAGAAAAATTATATTTTTATTTTTATTTTTTTTCAATAAATGTCATAATAGAACATGAATTTTGGTTATAAAATTTAAAATTTTTGATATTTCATCTTTGTTTGGAATATTTTTGATTTAAGTAAAATATTTTAAATTTGAGGGGCTTATGGGGGTTTGAGTATAATTTACTAACAGATATTAACAATGGGGGTATAAGTGTTATACGTGTACAAACCTTAGGAGGCCTATATATAATATTTCAAATATTAAGGGATCTATGTGTTTTAATGACAAACTTCAAAAAAAACTGAGTGTAATTCTCCTAAAATTACCTATTAAATTGCCTATTGTCCAATCCAATTTTTGGTGTTAATAATGTCTTTTTACATATATATCCAGCTACATATATGTCAACTCTCAGGTCCATACATATTGGGCCTATTTGGTATATGAGTTTGGGACCTTTGGCGAGATTTAAAAAGTGATTTGTAAAAATAAAAAAAATTTAGATGCCGGTCCCCTTATATTTTGGACTTAAGTATGCAAAGAAATTTTATTTGTTATGAAATTCATTTTTTGTCAATGTTACTAAACTATCACTTCCTTTTAGAAGTGAAGTAATATTAAAAACTAAAAATTCCTTAAGAGTTTGACTAATATTAAAAAAATTTCTCTCTTATATCTATCTATGTCCATATATAGGTTAGAACTATATTTCTCTCATATCTATATAATAAAGTAGAACGATTTTGAATTCAAGACACAAAGAGTGGCTCAGATCGTTTC